GAACGAGATTATACGGTACTCGCTTGTAATACATTTTTAACAGAAATGTATTTTTCACCTGCAAAAGGTGTTCATTATTGATGATTCAATGATTGATGATTGTTGATTACTGATCAAGCACATTCATGACTTTGACAGTTATCACTCTAAATGCATGAACTAGGACTTCCCCACGTGTAAGATATGTGGATATGTGTGCTCATAAACTATGTTCTTTAGTACGAACTGCCTATGGTCTATTTGAACTTCACATCCTTATTGGCCTATTTAGGAATACCCAGAATATATGCGCTAGGATGAAATATGTGTATTTTGTTGTACCTTGAAGAGTTATTATTCTCATCTTCTTAATTTGAGCAGATGATTCGGCACATCTTTCGGGAGAGGGTAACAGCGCTGCGAACAAGGCAGAACCTGGAATAAGGGATGTATGAACAAGGTATTCAATCAGTATTATACATACACCTAAGCTTCTCCTTATTCCCGAAAGGAATAGCTATAGCTACTTTTACGATTCAGACAAAAATACGTTTTTCTTCGTTTAGTTTGTTTTGTTTTGTTTTTCCTTTCATACCGTTCCACCAATTTATTTAAATTCCTTCATTGATTTGACTCCCCTATTAAAAAGTGTTTTAAAATCATGAAAACATTGCTAGAAACAGTACACGAATTTCCATTTAACAAATTTGGTTACGTATTTATATAAAATGTTAAATGGTGAATAGTGCTTTCTCTATCATTAATAATTCGCTTCTTCCTCATTGCCTTATTCGCTTGTTGTCTTTCTGCCCTTCTCCATTTAAACTAGTATCCTTTTCTTCTTTCTTTAAATTATCGGGGCAGAGGAACAAGAATCAACCAAAACGTTTCCCAGGAGCAACTGGACAAGATCTCGAAGAAATTTCCAAATGCAAACTTCGAATCCTTCAGCAAAATATTAGGCATCGAGGGGAACGAAGCCAACAACATCCTGACGAAACACTGCAAGGACTACCGGAAGGCCTTGATGGAAATCCTCATGATCTGGAAGAACAAGACCTGTGGCCCTTGCTCAAAACTAGAACATGCTTTGAGTACCTCAGGGGCAGAGGATTTGATAGCGGATATACTTTATCGATAAAGCCCAGGGCCTACTGATAGGTTTATCTGAAAGCTTGCGAGACCGATGGCCTAATACAGCCACGAGACCGATAGCCCTTGGTCGAAAAGGAATTTTAGTTCATCTCTTATGTAGACAAATTAAAAATTAAATAATTAAATTTAGTAATGATGATAATCATATTGATATTAATGAATTTTGTACATATCATTAGCTAATTTTTCTTCTTAGTACTACCAGATATGTTATACATTTTTTTTAATGCAGACATATTACGATTGTGACGTAAGTAGGATTACGATAGGGTATTGAAATTGCCTATGAGTCGATTTTGTTTTCTTCGAAGAAAGTTGCTATCGTGTGACAATTAAATTTGGCTAAAGGGTCCCACGTGAACGTGACTATGCATTATTATTTCCTATCGTGCTTAAAAGCGGTTTCTATTTATATGCCTTTATGTAACATTTAATGGTGAATATTCTTTGGAACAAAGTTATCCTTGGCGAATATATGGAAAAAGAATTTGGCATAAACTACGTCAAGGAAATATCATTAAAAGCTGCTTGAATTTCAAATCACTCGAGAAGACGATTGAATGTGAAGAATTTCTACATCGTTTAAAAAATTATGATCATGATTATTGCTTGAAGTGCAAATGCACAGAAAATTATCTTCATTATTTTTTAAGTGTGATTACGCAAAAATATTTTCTCGGAAAAACAGAATTACTTTTCGATAATGAAAACATTGATTACAGTGATAAAGCTGTAAGCAAGCAGTGGGATAATATAAATTCAAACTATTTAGTTTTTAATAATTTTTTTTTTAAATTTAGCTTCTTACGTTTTATATACACACCAACAAAATGCAATTTTACAAACATATTCGATATTCATATAAAGGGAATATTATGGAGGGCAAATGTTGTAAAGTATCACCTCTGGAAAAAGATATTCGTTATGTTAAAAAAACGTACAGTCAATGTTGTGATACATGTATAAGTATAAATACAGTTCTTCTTTGAAATAAATATAATTAGGTATTTTTTATGTAAGCATTATTCAATTAATAAATGAAGGAAAAAGAGAAAAAAAAGACGCTTGTTACATTATTATACATGACACTGAACACTTTCAGCACACAACAATATTATAAGTAAAGTGGTTAATATATTTCAAATTACATAGTACATTATACAGACTGTCCTTCCGGCAAAGTTGCGAGAGTCGTCGACGATGTCGGACTCGAATTTAGTCGAAAGCTGAAAATCGAAGAAACAATTGGTAGGTTAATTGGAAGTGGGTAAATAGTGGTCACCGCAACTTTATTTTCCAATTAAGACGGGGTTTTAGATCATAGATGACGTCAGTGATCATAGTACAGTTCAAAATAAATGATGAACGAAAGCCAAGGGTTAGCGATGTTGATCGGATGCGGAGTCCACGTTCGGTGATGGTGGAACTCTGAATAGAGTTCGACGTCGACGGTGATCGAAGACGGAACGAAAGTCGATAATGTCAATATCCAATTCATTATTGGAGCTTGCAACAAACGTCAAAGTTCAAACGCCAAATTGGAGGTCGACGACGTGGTGATGGTGGCGTTGATGAATTGGTGATGAGGCTGGTGAAGAACGTGACGATATAGAAACTACTCATTTTATATTGCGTATAATATATCTGTAATATTAAAAAGACAATTTTTAATTATATCCATAACAAAAACAAATATGAATACAACTGTTAACATGAAATCACAAAGTCACATAAGTAGACATGACATCGATTAGGTTATTTTGTAAATTTGCTGGGTTGATTTGCAGTATTCCATTTATTTTCTAAAAAGAATAAAACATTTAATTATGCGATCAATGCCACTACTGACAGCAGATTTAATTGTAAATGAACAAACTTTGCTTTGAATGATATGCCCTATAAGACCATAAAGATCCTACATCAAATTACGTACATGAAATCATACATGTTCAGTCTTAGTTATCTTGTCGGAAGGTGTTTTAACTCACAGTTGATAATGTCATAAATGACTATTTAGACATCAACTAGATCTATGAGCATGTTGATTTGCAGTATTCCATTTATTTTCTAAAAAGAATAAAACATTTAATTATGCGATCAATGCCACTACTGACAGCAGATTTAATTGTAAATGGACAAACTTTGCTTTGAATGATATGCCCTATAAGACCATGAAGATCCTACATCAAATTACGTACATGAAATCATACATGTTCAGTCTAAGTTATCTTGTCGGAAGGTGTTTTAACTCCCAGTTGATAATGTCATAAATGACTATTTAGACATCAACTAGATCTATGAGCATATTGTAAATAAAGTAGATGATTCGTATTCAGCATGATTTTACAGATCTAAAACATCAAGAAGCTCCTGTCGAGGCAAAGCTGCATTGTGAATAGTACCACTGCAGTCAACTTGATTTAGAGGCGCGATAGCTCAGTCGGTAGAGCAGTGGTCTCGTTATCAAGTGACCCGGGTTCGAAACCAAATCGATGCGCTAGTGCCCTTTGGTAAGGCATTAATCCTCATTACCAGGTCTCTCGGAGAGGACCTCAAGCCGTCGGTCTTCTGGTTGCTTACTAACAAGCATTTATTGCTTTCTTAGCTGTCAGGTAAAATACCACCACTACCACTATCACTGCATTGAATACATGTAAACATCGACCCTTTGGCACATACATAGCCATTCAGATAATGTGGAAATGGCAATTAAATTTGCAATTTGTAGTGTATATTCTGAGTCAGGTGTATACCTGTTTGCGCCGTGTGGGTTTTGGGGCTTGACTAGTACAGACCTACTTCACGATATTTCATGCTGTTGCACAATCTGTAAATTTACACACCATCGATAAAAAGCCAAATGAAAGTTGATAGTTTTCCCCTAATTGAATTTGAATTTATTAACAACAGCACATCACAATAATGACAGTACATATAAACAATCATACAATGCAAAAAATAATACTGATACATGTATACATAACATAAGATTAATGTCGATTGAACAGTAATGGTTTTAAAACGATATTTTTTAGACATACATCTGCATACTATTAAATGTACAAAAGATTTTTCGTAAATATGTATATTACTATGTTTAGGTGAAGTTGTTAATGGGAACTAGAAGTTAGCACAAGTGCTAGTCGAGCTAGTTCCATTCTTTGGCAAGATTTTTTTCTGTTAATTTGTTTTTACATATGAATGTAAAACTTTTTTGTTTTGTATTTACATATATACAACAAAATAATACAATATCATGTAAATTTTCAATAATAATTGGATACGTCGTAACTACATTAATCCTTACTTTTTTATATAATAAATTTAAATCAGATTTCTAGCTGTACTTTTCAGTTTTTCAATTCAAATAATACCTTAGAAAACTAATGGACAATGAAATTACATCAATATTTGTTTTACAATGGTGGATATGTGAATTAATTGCGACCAAAGCAGAAAAATACATGACCATGCTAATACCACACAGCAATGGTACTGAGCCATGGTTAGAACCAAACAAACGTGAATTGAACCTTACAACTGCCAAGTACCGCAATGTACCATGTACAAATTCGGAAGAACCATGGTTACCATGGTCCTTGTTTTTATAACCATGGTAATACCATGGTTCTTGCTTGGTAGTACCGTGGTAAGAAACGAGTACTAGCTCGGGTACCATAGAGTACCATGGTTACCATGGTCTTTTTTGTATAAGTGTCACACAATGGGGTAGTCCCTACCCCCCCCCCCCCCCAATACACACATACACCGTCCCCGTTGGCAAATCGCTGTATGTCTGCGTGGGTGAATGGGACTTTGTTCCCCTTCGCCATTAGCTTTTGTTATGGACTCAAGAATCATTGCCATATCGCTCTGTATACTGTGTATAACCTTATATACAATATAACGTTTCGTCTGTCACGATTTCAGTCTGGCAAACACAAGAGCACATCTATCATAAGCATAACTTCTAAGCCATGGGAGACAGTAGTATTGCAGGTTCAGGTATGTTGATTTATATTGATAATAGCAGATAGCGAAAAATGGTAATTTCTAACCTCAGAATATTTGTATATTTATGTCCCTGAATATTATACATTTCTTAAAAATCACCGGACTGTCACAGTGGATCCCCTCGGTTTTCGGGTCGCACCGCGGCACTAATGTTCTTTGGCAAGACATTAATGTGCATTTGCCATACTCGACCCAAGTGAGGTAAATGGGTACCTGGCAGATAGGCCTATCAATTCCTTGAGATTCTTAAGCGCCATGATTATGGGCATGCTAAAGCCAGGGTTATAATCGTGGAGCGCCAGGGATGAAACGTCTGACGCTCCTGAGCTCTTTAATAAGAAACCACTATTGTAATTGATATAATTATTGTAATCATTATTATCATGATAAATATAATATTTTTAATAAGTATTAATATAATGTTATTACCATTATTATTATTACCACTAAACCAGATAGGATTCTGTCTTTGACGGACCTGAAATTGAACGAGATAGGGGAGGGTTAGGGTTACTTTTTAATAAATATTAATATAATATTATTACCATTATTATTATTATCATTAAACCAGACATGATGCTGTCTTTGACGGACCTGAAATTGAACGAGATAGGGGAGGCTCTGGGGGTCAACGAGAATCTGATGACACTTGGACTACATTTAGGTTTCCCACGACCCAAGATGGAAATGTTTCTAGCTACAAACCGATCCGATGGCAATGTGTCTCCAAAAGGCACCAAGATTATGCTATTTACATGGAGGAACAAGACTCCCAGAGCGAATCAGGTCCAGAACCTTCGTGCTGCCTTGATTGATTCCGAATTGGGGCTGGTTGCCGAGGAACACCTATAATTGATATCCAGGAATACTCTTAATGGACGAAAAAGTTGGTGTTAATTGGGTTTCGATCATTCGAAGGTACCGTGTTTTGGTATAGCTATGTTTAAAACAGATAGCCTGGCGCCTCTCGGAGACTAACAGACTATTACAAAATGAGCCGATTTCTCCAGAATCTATAATTGGATTTGAAAATTCGAAGGAACCGTGTTTTCGGTTTAATATCTAGAACTGATGATATGGCCAGTGATTCTAAAGGCACCAACAAAATTTGTGCATGCAGGAACAAGACTCCCAGATCGATTCAGGTTCAGAATCCAGGGTGCAGGTCCAGGATCTCCGTGCTGCCTTGGTATTCAATTCAATTCAATTCAAGGTTTTATTTCGAAAAACATAAAGTACAATGATGCACATGCTGCAGCTAAAAAGCTGAAATGTATGTGTTTACAATGATCAAGGATACATATAAATAGGAAAGAATATCTATCACAAAACATATCTACATTATCATACAATGAAACCATGACAGATAAAATACTGGTCTGGTTAAAAAGACAACTGTTCATATATACAAATTTTAAAACAAGTTGGGTTTGAAGAGAAAAACTTAAAACAATCAGCGATTATTAAGAAGATCAATAAAATATGGTATTGCACTTTGTTTAAAACGAGAGGTTCTGCATTTATATTGACTATACTTGTGTTTATTTCGTAAAGGCATGCCAACAATTTTTCGTTCAGGAATCCAGCCTTTGCATTGTGGGTTATTAATTAGAGATTCAGCGAAAACAACACATAATTTTTCACGCCTTATTTGTAGTCGTTCAAGCTGGCATCGTTTCAAAGCGTCTTCATAATTATAACTTTTTCCTAAAATGATTTTACATACCCTTTTCTGAATTCTTTCTAAATGATGTATGTGCTCTAAGGTAAGACCTCCATTAAAAACAGGTGCACAATACTCTAAAAGAGGACGAATGTAACCAACATATATTTGGATTAAGTCAGGAATTGGTAACTTATATTGCTTAACCATTCTAAACATGTATAGTTTTCTATTGCATTTTTTAAAAACTTCATTTATGTGAGTGTCCCATTTCAAATTTTGCTGGATGTAGACTCCCAGAATTTTTACAGATTTTATATATGACAATTGTGAGTCACCAATACTAAAAGTCTCAGGAATAGATGGATTTTTCATAAATGTAATTCTCATTGCAGTACATTTGTTATGGTTTAGTTTCATGTGATTACTTTCTGTCCATTCTAATAAATTATCTAATACATGTTGTAATATTGATTGTTTCTGTACAGTTCGACCTTCAAGTAAAGTAAGATCATCAACATATTTAAAATATAACAACGATTGATCTTGGCAAGCATCATTGAACATAATTAAAAATAAAATTGGGCCTAACTTCGTACCTTGAGGAACCCCGGCATGGGTGGTTACATATTCAGAAAAAACATTTTGATATTTTACACACTGAGAACGTTGTTTTAAAAAACTTATAATCCAATTTATAATAAAAGGTCTGACATTGAGATCAATCAATTTCCTAATCAAAATATTGTGATCTAATAGGTCAAATGCTTTGGAAAAATCTGTACAAATAAAAGTTGACATTGATTTTGGTCTCTCACAGTTTTCGAAAATATTATGTAATAGTTTAATAAGATAGTGAGATGTTGATAAACTAGGTCTATTGCCATATTGGTGAGGGTCAATGTACTTAGATATGTCTTCCAAAAGCCACTTGGCTATAAAGGATTCTGCCATTTTTGAGAGACGACTAGTTAAGGCTATGGGGCGTAGTTGTTCAATTGTTGGTGGTTGAGACTTTGGGATTGGAACAATTTGACTTCTTTTCCACTGCCATGGTACTATGCCCTGATGAAAAGATGCATTTAAGATATCTGCTACAGGTTGACTTAATTCATATGCAAATTCAAGTATACGTTGATTGGGGCAGCATTACTGAAAAACACCAAGATGGCCGATTTCAGTTAGTTAAGACCAGAACACCTTCGTTAGCTGCCTGTAAGAACAATGAACATGATGAAGATGGTTGTTACTGCCTATCAATAAATGGTTCTTACGGCATTCTTACGGGCATGCAGCCGACGACGAATCGATGTCATTTGAGAGATTTGTTTAATTCTAACTTTGGCAGGTTTTCTTTGTCTAGTTTCATGTCAGATATATCGTGGCATCATTGAAAGGCATACACGATTACATTATTTGCAGTGACGAGGTTTTAAAGATTTCTTGATTGGCGGTTTCCCAATGCTCCTGATGTCACAATTTTATTATGCCATTTGATAAGAATTTAAGAACATAATGCCATCTTTTAAATAAACAAATATTTTATTTCTTCTTTTTTTGGTCATTTTTATCTGTAATTGCAGTGGTGATAAATAAAGGACAACTTCTTGCATGTATGCCAAAAAAGGATCCAATAAATTGATTTCTTGGGCTAGCCCCTAAATATTGGCACAGTTAAACATCTAAGTTACTTTGAACTTTTTCTTGTCGAGCTCAGATCAGAGTTTTCACCAATTTCCCAAATCATCCCCATGGCCGTTTTGTATTATTTTGTTTTATTAATAATTTTTCGAAATATGTGTATATATATAGAGAGAGAGAGATATCTTGGTGTCAAATACTCTTGAATTCATTTGATGACCGAATCATCAGAGCGAAGGGGTTTGTGATTGTCGATAAGGAAAATGAAATTACAACTCGTGTATTGTTACTGAGTTGTGGTATGGTATAGTATTTATTTTCCAGTTCACAATATAAAGAACAATATCAACAAAACAGAAAATTGTTCTTTGTATAAAAAGATTATTTTGAATGTATTTAAACATGCACAAATATTTGATTTGTTTATTTGTGTGAAAATTATTAATAAATAGCTTGTGGAGGGCTCACAAATTGAAGGGGAAAAAATATGTACATATAAAATCGAGAATATAGTGAATGGCTGGATAGCCCAATCAGCTTTTTTTTATATGACAAAACTGTATACAATTATTTAGCTGTATGTGTACTTTGAATGAGATAAACACTGTACAGAAAAATAACTTGCTCTCTTCGCATTTCTTTACGGTCGTTTGTTTGTCTCACATACAATTTCTTACAAAACAATAGACACCAATTGACGCAAAATTAAGTATTTCATGTCTTGATTAGCTCCATGTCAACCGAATTACCATTAATTAAGATTAATCTTGCACTGGAAACAGTTAGATCATCTGAAAGGCCTTGGTATATCTATCCCATTATCAATACAATTTTGCATAATGAAATTATTAGACCTATGTGGCATTCAAAGAGACTGAATTCATTAAAATACAAGTCTTCCCCATTCATACGCTACTGATTACAATTAAAAATCTATGCATAAAAGTGGCGAATTGGACTTTGAATGCGATAGTTGAGTACCTGCAGTAATAAACTAAAGTACGTCAATCATATCTATATACAACTCGCTCCTAGATCATAATCAAATGATTGGTCAGCCTATGAAATCGATTTACTGAGACTATCATACGTTTTCTCATGACAAATCGTGCAATGGTTTCCAGTACTGCCCTACGATTGTTAAATACACGATGCACAGCAGTGCGTGAGGAGGTCAGTTACTTTTTAACGTGTTTAGAGGTAATGTGCGCGCTGAGGTAAGACTAAAAGCGTTGGATCAAAACACTACATGGAGTCCGGCTTTTGCTGTATAAGTTTGTTAAGTTTGCTTATTACATAAAACTGACGAAAGAAAGTATACACTAGGTGAAAGAAATCAATGAAAATAAACACAATATGTAAATAAAAATTCGATCGCTATTGCCGGGCCTCATTCGTGCTCAAATCACAGTGACCAACACAATCACATCAAATCAAACATCGCTCAGTGTTTGTTTCGTTTATTGGTCAGTGGAGACCTCTTGAAGCAAATTTCACAACATTCTTTGTTGTAAACATGACATTTTAAGCCTTTTTTCAAAGGAAATTACTCTTAACACCCGTCTTCTCCAAAGGCTTCGTGGCTCGCTGCTACCAATTCCTTTTTTTCTTTTGCTGAAATAATAGTAAGGTTGACAATGACAATTGACAATGATTTTTAATGATTGCTGGTGAAACTTCGAGAAAATACAAATATGATAGTCGTCGTAGAGGATAAAAAGGCAAAGTTCGTATGAAAAAATAATTCTCCGGCCGACCGACATTATACATCTCACTGAATTCATCGAGCGAGAATAGGGACTTTTAGATTTGCACGACGAGAACGTGGACTGCGACGTGTGACATCCTTTTAAGGCGATGTGAAGGATGTCACACGTGGCAGTCCACGTTCTCGTCGTGCAAATCTAAAAGTCCCTACTACCGACACAGCTGGCCCCACACAGCAACATTTTTCTCCGTATCTTCCTTGCTTCCTCGACGAGATGACTCCACCCAACAACCCCCTCTCTCTCTTAATCCCACCCTCCTCTATCATACTCTTGTCCTCCCCTCTCTCTCTCTCTCTATCTCTCCCCCCTTTTTTTGCATCCCCCATTTCTTCCGTTTCATTTTTCAATACGACATTTTTTTCAATGTGACGTGGCCCCGGAAGCTTAGGGGTTTGAGGCATTTAATTAGGGTCAGATGAGCATATTTTGATACCTTACTTGTGACACTGACAGGTCTCTAATTGGCGGGGGGTCCAAAGGGCTGAGCCCCATGAAGCCCTGGGATTTTAGGCTTTTAATTACGTTCATAATTATGAGCATCCAGTGGTCGCCTTAGGGCCCCTGGTGGGTCCAGGGGGTAGAGCCCCGAAAACCCAGTGGTTTCAGGTATTTAATTAAGGTCAGATGAGCATCCAGGGGCCTGCCTAAGGGCCCTTGGTGGGGTCAACGGGGCGGAACCCCCCGTAATAATTTTGTTCAGTTAGGGGGGGGGGGGGTTGGGGACTCAAGCCCCTTGAATCCCGCCGTCTGCAGGCCCTGACATGAAGGCTCCTAATTTATTTTTGGGGAATTTGCAATTTTCCAACAAATGCATAACAAAAGAATAATTTACAAAAGAAATTGAGAAAAAATCCCGGAAAATCATGTCATTTCAGCAACATTTGTAAATCAATGGTATCGAATTAGAAATAAACCACGTTTGAATTTTATTTTTGGGGCAACTGCCTCCCTATCAGTACGCTAGTGTTCAGGGGCTGATGTATTCTCACCCCTATAATAATAATTTAAAAAACACGCGCTTTCCCATCCTCTCACAATATTTCCAGTATATGCGCGTATCGCTATTATAAAATGACTTTTTCTTTATTTTTTACTACTGCTACGGACACACAGAATAAAGGGAAATAAAGCTTGTTAAAATAAAGTTAAATTGTAACGTTTAATTTCCAATCATTTTTTCTGTTTCACACACTTTGTTTTGGCTTAAGTAAAAAATACAGTAGGTAATTAAACTTATCTTTAACAAAATAATTCTGGATGGGTAGTTTCCCGTCTGACATCGATGCCGGTCACAGCTCGTCTCGTCCACTTGGCCCTGGCCTCCGCAGACGGCGTCTTTGCTCCACTTGGCCCCGGTAGTCGCCCCGGATTCTTGACCTCCGCAGACTGAGATACGATGGTGTGCGTCCCGATCCCAGACAAGAGCTAGCCCCCGACGAAAGCTATGGAGAACCGGGTGGCAGTTGATCGAGCTAGCCTCTCGTCCCGACGTGGAATTACCCTCAGATATTGACTTTAATTGCCGACTTCTAACATGACGTTCAGTCTATTATAGCTTAGGTGGTTCTCCTCGATTGCAGAAAATCCACCTCTTAATATACCCTACGGTTACTAAGTAAATTCTAAAAACATGACTACAAATATTTGGAGAGAAAATGATCTTACAAAGGAAAATACTTGTATTGAAAAGAGGCTTCCTAAATGTGTGCCAAACAACAGATAAAACATGTACACTGAATTAATGACTTCCCCAGGCCTATTCATATGGAACAATACATCTTGGTCTGAAAAGAAAACATCTGACCTTAACATCTTCACCTGACCTTAACAAAGAATACTCCAGACCAGAGAGCAAAACAAATAAATTTCTTTCCTGAAACCCATTCTCTCACAATATTTCCAGTATATACGTGTATCGCTATTATAAAATGATTTTTATTTAATTCATGTTTTATTATTTGTTATTTTCTTTTGGTAAAAAATACGGATAAATTTTACTCCCTTACTGCTGATTTTTTTTGTTCTGGGGGGGGGGGGGGGGGGGAGTGAAAATGCGTTTTGCCCCCCCCCCCCCTCCCCACACACACACATTTTTGATTGGGGCATCCGGTTGAATTGGACTTTGATAAACTCGTTTAATTGCTGTTTCCTTTCCTGAAGAAGCCATTGCCATCAGGATATTGCCAGATCACTGTGTATAAAATATAACGTTTCGTCTTTCACGATTTCAGACTGACAAGGACAATTAAGAGTATACATATCATAATCATAACTTCTGAGTCATGGCAGACAGTAGTACTGCAGGTTCAGGTATGTTGATTTATATCGATAATAGCATACAGGGAAAAAAGTAAAATTCTAACCTTCGATTATCTGTATATTTATGTCCCTGCTTATTAGACATATCTGCAAAATCACCGGACTGTGGATTACGTTCTAGTTTTGATGCCACAGGCACAATAATGTGATAGATTTACACAGTTGTGTATTGCAAAATATTACTCATTTGACCAAAAACATAAATCATTAGTTAGATGAGTAAGTTTGCTGTAAAGGTACTATGTCCCTTTTGCAGCCAACCTCAAATTCTTTAGGACTTTGCAGGAATTATGAATATGTCATGTATGTCCTATATGTGAAATTTAAATGTAAGCCGTGTCCCAATATTCAAATTATGCAAGAAACCTGTTTACTTGCTAGACTTCAGTGTCAGACACTATTGAGTGACTGACTGGCTTTTTTTCTTCTTCTTTGATAACAACATACATACAATGAGCTGTAAAGGGTATATGAGCTTTGTCTACATCAATAACCCACTTCTTGTGATGGCCAAAATTAAACTGATTGAATCTTTGCGCAGCGTAAAACGTATGACCATTCAGTACAATGGTCTGAAAATCAAGACTATTACTTATTGGCTCTATAGCTCCTAAGTCGATTTGACAACTAATAGTCGTTATTTTCCCACTTGAAGACATTTTCAAGCCCCACCTTTTTTTAGGGAAGTTCTAAATTAGTATTATCTTTCAAATGCCGTTGGAATTTAACCTTTTCATTTTTTGGCCTGCAAATGGGACATAGTACCTTTAAGTGATCAATGTGTGCGAAAATATAACATACAAGACAAAATGGATGTTCAATATGAATATTGGTCACTGTTTTCATCATTTGAGATAAATCTAAGACCATGTGAAAGCATAACATATTCCTTGAGGGATTGATTTATACCAAATATCAGTAGACTTATCGGAATAGGTCAAACTGCCTAGGCTCATGAAAGTTGTATGAATGTAATTGTACCACACAAAAAACGTATTGTTAGGGTCAGGTATTATGGGACCATCGAGACATTGAGGAGTAGAGCACCCAGGTGCCCCTTTGTAATTAGTTTTTCAGGGTCTTTATGTTATTTATCGTACTTGGTAAAATAAAGCACTGTCCAGCAGCCTTTTCATTGTAGGCAGGGGCGGTCGAGCGACTTCCAAAGTGTGGGGGGACCAACAAAAAAGGGCACTTTCTAGAGAATAAAAAGGGCACCTACAATGGGAAATCTCAAAGCGAAAATACACAGTTTTTTAGACATTGGCATAAACCCCTACATTGTGATTACATTATCAGGGATGGTTTCAATATTGGTTTCTCTTTATACATCGATACAAGTTGGATGGAAAGCCTAAAAATTGATTTGCGAGCGAGCGAAGCGAGGGAAGCGAACTAGGATTTTTTTTTTAAAGGTTTGTGAGGTCGCAGTGCGAAAAATTACATATAAAGTGGGAAATCCCCATCCTGATGGGGTTATGAGCACATTCTCATAACGGAAAAGACTAAAATACCTTTGATGGGTAACATAATTATATCATCTATAAATTTGAGCGAGCGTAGCGAGCGAGCTATGAGGGAAATTACTCTTAGTCACTTTGAATTAGGGGCACGTTTAATGCATGATGAGAGGAAAAGGGGACACTTATTAAAAGGGATAAGACACTTAATAGAAAAGAAAAGGAGCACGTGTCATAGTACAAATGGTAATTATCAGAGACGAAAATGAGGCACTTCTTACACCTGAAAAAAGCACTCACCTAGAATGAAAAAAAGCACTTATGAGAATGAGAAATGGGCATTTGTTGACGGAAAAGTATCACCCATCAGATTTTAATAGGGGGCATTTATAAGAGGTAAAAAGGTTTTTTTTTTATCGCACCTGAAAATGAAAATAAAAAAGGGGCACTTATAATAAAGGAAAATGTGCATTTGTTGAAAGAAAGGGGGCATCGATCAGATTTTAATAAGGGCATTTATTTGAGATGAAGGGGTTACTTATCAAAAGTGACAAGAGGCACTTCTCGTACCTGAAACGGGGCACGTACTAGAGATTAATAAAGGCACTTATGAGAATGGAAAATGGACATTTATTGCAAGGGAAAATGGGCACTTGTCGAAGTAACAGAGGCTCGTGTCAAAAAAAGGGGTAATTATCAGAGGTGAAAAGGGTGAGGGGCACTTTTACAAAATAATAGGGGCACTTTTCAAAGTAAAAGGGGCACTTTTCCCATGTAATAAGGGGCACTTTTTACAAAGTTAAAGGGGCACTTTTACTATGTAAAAAGGGGAATTTGGAAAAGCGAGGGGCCCCCTGCCCCTGGAAGGGCCCCCTCCGATTGTAGGAGCAGTTTTTCCCTGTACAAAGGCGACGCTTAATGAAATTGTCAGACTGGTTCTTTTTACTACTTTAAATTTCATTTAGCAGAAGTATCATCGCATTTTGTGTTTGACGAGGAATCAAAGACCTTAACTGTGAGACACGGTTACACACTCCATGTTGGGAATGTAGACACAGTCCAGGATCAAGAGGAATGTGAAGGTGAATTCATGTTTAGCATCGTTCTTTCAGATGAAGATTTAGATTCTTACTGAATTTTTTTTAAAGTAGCTCTGTATATTGATTTTATCAAAATTGATCATAATATCAAAAAGATATAAAAGCAATTTCGTCTTTCTGTAAACAAAAAGTTTTATAAAAAGTAATGTTTTTGCGCCATTCATTATTTTATACGTATCCAGGAACGTCTCATTCTGAGAAATTGCTTTCTCTTGGAAAATAATTACGATCCTGAGCTTAAAAGAATAAGTAACGATTTAGAGTATTAATAATTCTTTAAAGTTGTATTCATGTTTTAATGAAGCTTCAAGAAAAAAACTTTGGCTAGAACTTTTGTTTTCTATTATATTCATAGTTAAATACGAGGTCATAATGAAAGAATCATATCTGTTTCAGAGATGGAAGTGGATGCTTACATTGAGCCCATAAAAAAGGCTGGTGCTATTAAAGCTGATCCTAGGATTCTGCAGCTCCTTCAGAAAGTGCCTCCAGATTGTCACAACCCTGGAAAATGGAAAGTTAACCAACAATTGTGCTCCGAATTAGTATCCCTATTCCAGGAGCAAGGCGCTGCTCTAACAAAGGTTCGGTTTGACTCGGTGCACTTCTTCGTTAGTGTCAAACTCGGGCCCGATCACGATGCCTTTCTTCAAGCCTGTAGAGACGGCACACTCTCGCGAGGCTTGACAAAAATTCTTGTTACTCCAGAACTGGAGAAGGAAGTTGGAGTCAAACTCGGAGTAAGGCTGGAAGTGAAAGAGACATCAAACACAAATAACGTCTCGGCACTAGCAGGTTAGTATCACATGATGGGGTTGATAATAGCATTGATATATAGCAAATAGCGAAAATTTGTAATTATTAATCATCGATTATTTGTATATGTATGTCCCTGAATATTGGTCATCTCTTCAAAACACCGGACTGTTGATCACTTATGGTTTTGGGTTCGAGTCACGCCGCGGCACTAATTTCTTTGGCAACACATTTATGAACATTTGCCATACTCGACCAAAATGAGTTAAATGGGTACTTCGCAGGAATTGAATCCTCGAAATTCTAGGGCGGCGTAATATCAGTCATGTTACAGCCAGAGTAATAAATGTGTAGCGTCAGGGAAGTCAAGTCGGACAAACCTAACCTATTTAATACGAACCCACTATTGTCATTAATAGTATTACTAATTTATGAGTATCATTACTACAACATGTATTAGTATTATTATGATTATGATTATCATTTTCATTGTTATTATTGCTGTAATTATCAAACCAGGCAGGATGACAAATTTGATGGACATAAAGTTGAACAAGATAGGGGACGCTGTGGGTGACGACGAGAATCTTGCGGCTCTGGGATTACTTCTTGGTTTTGCACAAACCAAGGTGGACATGTTTCTTGCTACAAATCGAGTTGATGGCAAAGTGTCTGCAAAAGGCACCAAGAATATGCTATCTGCATGGAGCAAAAAGACTCGCGGCGAGAACCAGGTGAAGGAGCTCAGTGATGCCTTGGCGGATGTCGAATTGGGGTATATTGCTGAGAAATACCTACAGCGATTTTCCAGGGATACTCTTAGAGGACGAGTTGATGTCACCGGAATGTAACAATTATTGGTTGATTTCTTATAATTTTGGCAGTTTTTTAATTGTTCTTCGAAGCTACCGAAGTTTCATGTCAAATAAATATACTGGTATCACTGAAAGGCATAGTTGATTACATTATTTTAAAGGCCCTCTGTACTAATTGAAGCTAATTGCTCCCTCTATATAGAAAACTTCCACAATCGGTGCCTGTTGGTCCCCCATGATCCTCTATTTCTTATGTTAATTGAGAGCTGTCAGTGCCCTCGCTGTGTGGTCTAATCCCTCCTGGCCAAACTAGTGCAGATAAGCTTTAACTGACGAATACCTTTAAAGAGGTTTCCCAAATCTTTTAAATGGCAGTTTCCATTGCTCCTGATCTCACAATTTCCTTATGCCATTTGAGAAGAATCGATGAACATAATTCCATCTTTTAAATAGAAAGATATTTCATCTCTTGGACAACTTTTGGTATGAAAGTCATAAAAGGGTCTAATAAATTGATCTGTTTGGCTAGGCCTGAATATTGGAAATATTAAAAAATCTTAGTTACATTATATTTGTCGAGTTAGGCTCAGAATGTTCACCATTTTCGCTGAAGGTTTCCCAAATCTGGAAGCTGTCAAACATGCAAATTCTTTTCCTCCCATGGTAATTTGTATATGTATATTTTTGTTTAATAAAAATAAATAAATAAATATGTAAATCTAAAATGAATTTGATGACCAATCATCATAGCTAGGTTGCTTGTGATTGTTGATAAGGAAAATGAAACCACAACTCATCTTTTTGTTTATAAGTTACTTGTTACTATTAAGTACTGGTATTGTATGGTATTTCTTTTCCAGATCACTATATAAAAAACAATATCAACAATATAAAAAAGTACATGTTCATATAAGATTGAGAATATAGTGAGTGGCTAGATAGCCTACACAGCTTTTTAATACGACAACATTGTCGAGAAAATTAAATGAAAGAAAGAACTTACAATAAATAAAAACAAGAAACATATTATTCATAGTCGTAAAATTGATGACATCTAGAAAACACAAAACACTTCTAAAACTGTTATTGACCCACCCCACCCCCTACCGGTGGTAAATGTAAATTATGCCAGGAATCTTCCACGAGCTTTAATCAATCTTGTGTACTTTATACGCTAAGTTATCATACATGTATGTATCGAACCTGTATGCATTTATTCAGCTGTATGTCTAATTTGAATGAAATAAACAGACCCATCGCACAAAAACTTAACTTGCTTTGTTTGCCTTTATTCATGGCCGTTTCTTTGTCTCATATAGAATTTTGCACATAACAAAAGACCCAAATTGACGCCAAAATGTCATGTTTTGATTAGCTCCATGTCAACCTCTTTAACACCAGTAAAGATAAATCTTGCACTGGAAACAGTTAGATCATCTGAAAGTCTTTAGTATATCTATTCCATGATTAATACAATGTTGCACAGTGAGATTATTATGTGGCATAAAAGAGACTGAATTCTACAATACAAATTTTTAAAAAAATCCTCATTTACATGCTATTCATTGAAATTGAAAATGTATGCATAAAAATAGCGAATTGAAATTGGAATGCAATAGTTGAGTGACTGCGATAATGAACTGAATTCAACCATATTTATACGAATTCTTTTATTGAACGATCTATCCCTAGCTTCTTGTTGTATTGGGTCAATCTGTTTATGCATCTATCATACTTAGCCTGAATGCTAACCCTACGGTTTCTACAAGATCAACAACCCAACGGATAAAAAGAATAACACACAAACACACACGCACATACACACACACAAATGAAAAAATACATAGGAGGAGATGGAAACTTTAGGTCTCTATGGCTGTAGCCATTTACCTAAAGTGCACAGAGTATGTAAGACATGTGGGTAGCTCAATCAGTAACCCAATTTGTTGGTATAACCGAACAGACAGAGCATTTGTTTGTGACTCTGCAGATGTATGCAATAAAAAGGAGTTTAAAAAAAAGCATGTTAAAAAAAAACACATGAATATAATAAATTGTATAAACATTAAAAACATTAGAAAACAAAAGTCAGCGATTGTATATATTACCAGGCATCACTATTTATACAACTGAGTTAACATAAGATAGAATGATTTACAATTCTGTGGCGGTATTCAAACATATCTTGTATCTTGAATGTTCTTGTAACCTCACCATTGTAATAAAATTGGTATTCTTAAAATTCTTGTAACTTATCTTGGAAATTCTCTTGCATCTTTTCTATCATTAGGGGCATAAACTGAAATGGCACGTAATCCTAATTAACATATAATGAACGCAAGATAATATCATCAGATATTAGGTACAATGTATTCTGAGATATTTGTATCTCTTCTTTTATCTTAAATTCCATGGTAATAAAACATTATTTACAACAGATTAGAGAATATTTTATCTCATGATGGCAGCAAAAGGATGTGAAATATTAAAGATGTGATATCATAATCATCCATGTTAAATATGACAGTAAGTTGTAAACAAGTACAATAAATCGGTGTAATTTTAATCTCAATCCCGTTTTACAACATTAAAAACATATCATTTAAACAAAACAAAAAAATCAAATTTGCCATGCCTTTAAAAAATGGAATAAAGACATTATATATATCTCTGGATTTTGAAAATGATTTTGTTTTCCAGTACAGTTGTTTTAAAGCTGGTTTCAACAAATAATAATTATTTCACTTAATTTATATCAAAAGATTTTGATGCATAATAGTCGAAAGCACATCATCTTAAATCATCATTACCTAAATGTTGCTTGAAATTCCCGGTTCAGGAGTCTGTTAGAAACCTCACAGATATTCATAATAGAAAATCAATATACATATGAAGACCAAAATACTTATCAAACCATATCATTGTATGAGAATTGAGAACAAATAATATAATTCCACGTACTACTTATCTAAACCATTCATCTTTTACCTTTTTACAGTAAATTTCATTGTTGTTTAATCATAATTCGGCCATCATGGGTTCTTTGAAATATGTATTTCATCAACTAGGAACTCAAGTACCGGACACTTTACAACTACATTTTGTATATTTGCTTTTCATACAGTATGTACTACTGATAAGGTTTTTCCCCTCGTAGTTTCATGCATAAATTTCTCAAGGAAATACTTGTGTATATTTTGCTAGGCTATCTTACATCAATAGAAACTGAATCTATGTAGGCTGAATTTGAAAGAAGGGTTACTTTTGTTTTCTTTTCACACTCCCGACACACTCCAGACACACAGTAAAATAAGGAAATGCAAGCGTTACTTTAAACATTTAGATTTTTGTTATTCCTGGCTCATTTTTCCTGGTTGAGATGTCATATGAAAGGGCAAAATATGTACTTTCTAGAAATGTGACTTTCCTTTTGAAATTCAGATACCGTTCGCCAAATGACTTTTTGGTACCCTTTCTACAAATTGTGTTTTATCACACATGCCTGAAAAATGCATCATATCAGTTGCTTTAAATAAAAGAGGAGGATCAAAGCTTTACAAATATGTGTCATTTATTAATCATAATTGTGATTAAGTTATGATAAACCATCGATAACTCTCGGTTTCGTTTTTTTCTGGGACACACTGTATATTGTACGTGGCTAGTAATTAGCAGGGGTCCTTCCTCTTAAAGGGAAAGTCCACCCCCAAAATAAGTTTGTTTCGATAGAGGCAGAATAATAAGAAAATCAGGTGAGTGAAAGTTTGGGCAAATTCTGAATGAAAATAAGAAAGTTATGAATTATTGAATTTGTGATCAATCAAATACAAATTGGCAACTCTGTGACTTATTATACGAGCTCTCCTTCATTTGCTTCGTGCATAATATTCCATAAAATCATGTTTTCTTCGTTATTGATGACGGAATATATATTTGTTCCTTGCAGGGGGAGTATAGAAACATATTTGAAATTATTATATTTAGGGTGCATGTATGGTTGAAATTTTTCTTGAGGGAAAATGAAAATTTTACATTTTTTTAGTACTGAGCAAATGGAAGTTGAGCTCGCATGATACGTCATAGAGTTGCCAATTTGTATTTGATTGATCACAACTTCAATAATTCATAACTTTCTTATTTTCATTCAGAATTTGCTCAAACTTTCACTCACCTGATTTTCTTATTATTCTGCCTCTATCGAAACAAACTTATTTTGGGGGTGGACTTTCCCTTTAATGATTAATTGGATGCTTTCGGCATACGGAGACAATGGCATCACAAAGAAGTATTTCCCCGCCATCCATGCCGCCGTTGTGCAGATGGCTAGCTATTATGCTTGTTCAGAAGCGGACTCGATTCAGTAATTATAGAAAATGCAGTAACGAGTATTCCAGATAAGGTTCACTTTTTAATCAAATGAAAATATCTCGCTAAATTAAAAAAAGTAAAACATTTAAAACCTCCTAAATGTCATTGCAGCTTAACCCACTTCATTTCTTCTTCCTCCCCAATAAATGAGATTCAAATTCTAGTACATGTCGAATGAATAACATTGAAAGGATACATCAGCATGATAGTGTTTGTTCTAACATCATCGAACGGTCCTTATATCATTTCGATTATGTTCATATGTCATTTCTTATTGCAGAAAGCAAGGTTTTTTCATGAATGAGAACAAAAAAAACAAGACATTATTTTGCTTAATGAGATCCTGCATGTGTAATCAATTATCTTCAAAATGAGGAGTAGGTCGCTATTATGCGGGAAAATGTATTAGTCATACAACAGGCCAAGTACCCGCATCTATCGTGTTTAGGAAATACATATCATAACCGAAACATGTGCAGGGAAGTTTTATGTCATTTAGAATATATATTATTACATTCTGTTAATTGTATCGTACCGTTTTGAGCTCTTTGTGATATAAGAGTTCTTATCCCAAACACACACACACACACCACCCTAGCACACACATACACACACACCCACATAAATGATATAAATTCATTCAAACAAATTAAATAAATGTATATACCGTATGTGTGTGTGTGTATGTGATTATATACATTATATTAAAAGGGTTCCGGAATAAAAGCGGGCATGAGTGGCAATGACCACCTCCCTCCCCCTCCCCCCTCCCTCCCCAGTCATCTCCGTAAAACCCATTAGGGTATTGAAAGTAATTACCATTGAGTTAATTTCTCGAAAGTCTTTGTTATTATGTTGTCGTTTTCTTCTCGCTAT